GCTGCAAGTATTCTGTCCAGGTTTTTCATTTTTTTGCTTGCTCAGTAGGAGAGTCAGGGTGGGGTGTGATTACCGCATCTGGCCTGGAATTGGAACCTTCCACAAGTCAATTTTAGCATCACAAGAAAAGAGACAACCAGATGTTATTTGTTTTTGCCTTCTGATATGATCCAACAGGAATAACACACTTCACCACAATGAGGTATTTGTGCCAAAAACATCCAACCTGAGTCTGACTGAGCCTCCAAATCTGGCGGCTGTGACAGCATACCACAGACTGGGTGGCTTAACCACAGAAACCTATTCCTCATGGTCCTCGAAGTCCCAGATCCAGGGTACGAGCACGGTCAGGTTCATGGCGTGGGCCCTCTTGCTGTCTGTGACCTCACGTGGCCTTCCTCGATGTGTGCACACAGAGAGGGAAACCCCGTGGCTCCTCCTCATGGGCACTGATCCCATCCTGAGAACCCCATCCTCATGACCTCATGTAACCCTAAGCACCTCCCAAAGGCCCCGCCTTTTTAAGACCATCCCGTTAGGGGTGAGGCCTTCAGCACGTGAGTTTTAGGGGACACCATGTGTAGTTCATGATACTGTTAGTTTACAGGACATTCAGGGCCGGAGGAACATGTTCGTGACCCCACAGGTAGGCAGCCTTCCAGATCCAGAATGTAGGGAATACTTCAGGACCGAGTTTCATCCATTAATAAATTCTAAGGAAAAACAGAGGAAGCTATGGATTGAAGGAGAGGAGTAAGGGGGAAGGATGTCCGATTCAGACATGCAGAGTTTGAGGGCAGAGTGTATTCAGGCAGAGATGTCCCTGACGTCTCAGGAGAAAGATGTTTATTGCTAGAGGAAAGGTTTGGGGAGCCATCCACAGAAAGGTGGTGGCTGAAACAGTGGAACTGGATGAAAGGCAGGCTTGGGTGTTGGACAGGAGGTTGCCATGTCCAGGAAGCCTTTATAGGGAGAAGGAAACAAACTGCCATCAGTAATGAATCAGAGTGTTGCCACTGGCACTGCGCTGAGTCTAGCGGGGTTTTGAAAATGCAAACCCTCGCAGTCCTTAGAGGCTGGGAGAAGGGAAGCAGGACTGAATCTGTGCTTCCTGCCCCTTGCCCAGAGTGCCGCCCGTTCCCCTCCAGCAAACACGGAAGAGATGCTAGCTCCAGGATGTGGCTGCATGTGGGTTACACTCGGTCGGTGGGCATAGGGCTGCTGGGGGGAGGCCTTGTTGAGGGCACTTGGAAAGGAAGGCACGAACTTGCAACTGGCCCCAGACAGGCCACCTCCTCACCTTTGAAGGTGGGGGCTTCAAGCATGTCCCAGGCCACCGAGGGAGCAGTGCTTGTTGATGGGACAGATTATTTGCAGAGAGGCTTGGGGCCAGGCCTCCTTTTTCCTGGAACAGAGGAAGTCTTGGGGCAGCTCCATTTCCTCCAGTTGCCTGGTTTCTAGGGAAATGGAGCGGGGCCGACAAGACCCCCAGGAGGTTTGGATGCTGGTCAAGGAAGCGAGCAGTAACCGCCGTGGGATGGGGAGCAGATGGGAAATGTGGGGGCGGGTGACAAGGATTTTCTCATTGATGTGTTTTGTCAAGACCCCTCTGAGCTGGAAGAGGGACCGACATCATAGACTTTCAGTGGATTAAAGGCGACATTCCCTCTGTCCTACTGGAGACAGATTGCTTCATTTCCTGCCTTGAAGCCGGTCAGTTGCTTTTGGGTGACCGCAATGGGCCCTCGGTCCTTTCCTTCAGATCTAGCTGAAATCAGGGCCGCCAGTTTAATTAACCTCTGAGCTTAACCTTAACTCCTTCCTTCCTCCGTCTGGCAGCGAGAGGCGAGCTCTCGTTGCTGAGTATGTGGGCTGAGAAACAGATCCTCAGAGCCCTGTTTCTGGTGATAATAACTGAGGAGCTTTGGAGTCTGCAGATGAGTTTTTGAAGTTCATGCTGCAGACAATTTTCTCCATCCCTAGTGACATAAATACTGTAAAATACAACGTTCTTTTCCCTAGTTAACCCAGTAAAATAATACATTTTTCAGTGACGGGTAAACCAAGCAAGGAGAAAGAAAACATACATTTGGAGCACATTCAGTATTGCTGGATGATATGGAGACATAACATCCTAAATTTCAAAGCCTTTCCTGGTCAGTTTAGGAAGAGTGTCTTGACTGTTACTGGTTCAGGGTCCTGGCTGGGGCTCCAGGGGACCACAGGAACCCCTAACATTTGACCCCTGCCTGCCCGGAGCCTATAGCGATGGTCCACCATAGTCCCACATACACTCGCCCTGAAATTTGGCTAAGCCCCGTGCATGGCTGCAGAGGCCCTGGAAGAAATATAGTGAACTTGAGCTGTCTGGGGACTTGGGGGAGATTTGCCGCTCTGGTTAAGTGAGTCTGCCTAGTAACCCAGCATTTACTTACACCTTTGAGGACCATTGTTGACTGAGAGCTCTCGGAGACGTGTTGCCTCTTGGTTTGCTCAGGGTTTGCCTTAGTTGGTGACAGCTCAGGGCCATCCTTGGGAACTATCATTTTTAGACTGGGCTATAATGCAGGGTTGCCTTACGCTCCTTTTAGAACTGTCTGGTTTCTTTTGAAACTATCTTAGGCTGCTCTCTGCTTGTGGAATTCTTAAGGCTGTTTTTTATAGCTTTTCTTGTTTCCTCCTGTAGTTGTCAGCTTTTATTTCTTGCTGGCAGTTTGTCTGCAGAGTGGCAAGCAGCGTGGCCTCACCCTTCTAATTCGCTGTGTCCTTGGGAACCTGAACACAAACCTGGCTGAAATTTACATAAACAGAATCAATAGACCCTGAAGGGGGTGGGAGGCCTGAGGGCCAGTCCCTGAGGAAGCTCCCAGCACTGGACCTCCCGGTGTGTTTTGATGTTTCCAAGGTTGGGTTTGAGGAACATCCCCTCGCATCCTCTGCCTCTGTTTGTCTGTCCTGCTTGGGGGGTGAGGGGTGGGGCACAGTGTTCTATGAGGAGCCCTCGACATGGAGGAATCCAGAGGTGGTTGTTTTTCAGCATGTACCTGTGTCTTCTGAGCAGCGGCCACCTAAGTATGAAAGATACTAAAAAACCGGCCACAGAGGATTTTGTGAGGGAAGAATAAAGGAAAAGGAAAGTGAGTGATCCCTGAAACATTTCTGCCAGGCTAGACTTTTAAAATGGTTGTGGTGAGGTCTTTCAAACATACTGAAAAAGAGTTGTAAAATGAAATAAACCCTTGCGTTCCCAACACCCTGTTTTAAAAATCCTGTTACCTGTCGTTATTATTATACTATTGTAACTATGTTAACTATAGTTAATAATACTATATTCTGTTATTAATACATTATATTGTAACAATATTATAACTGTTAACTGAAGTTAATGATACTGTGTTGTATATTTGAAAGTTGCTGAGTAGATCTTTGTTAAAAGTTCTCATCACAAAATAAATTTTGTAACTGTGTGTGGTGATGGATGTTAACTAGACTTCTGAAAATGATCCTTTTGCAATATATACAGATATCCAATCATTATTGCTGTACATCTGATACTACTAGAGTGCTGTATGTCAAGTATATCTCAATTTAAAAATCCTATTACCATGTTGCTTAATTTGCTTCAGATTTTTAAAATAGTAGGCTGTCCCAAATGTCAGAAGTCTGCAGTATACCCCTCTGGGATCCTGTCCTTCTCTCCAGAGGCATCTGTTGTCCTGAGCTTAGCCTTGTTTCTTTCAATGCACGTTTTTATTCTTTCACTATATATTTTTGTATCCATCAATAATAAGCATCATTCTTTCGCATAGGTAACTTCTTACAAGTGGTACAACACCATACATATTCTTCTGTAACTTGCTCTTTTCCCCTGTTATACTTGTGAAGCTTGACCTGTGTCATTGATTTTTCACTGCTGTTGGTAAACTATGGCCCCTGGACCAAATTTTGCCCTACTCCCTATTTTTGGAAATAAAATTCTATTGGACACCGCCATGTCCTTTGTTTATGAATTTTCTCTGGCTATTTTACACTGAAGAGGCAAAATTGAGTAGTTAAAACAGAGATATAAAATGAATGGTTAGCAAAGTCTAAAATATTTACTATTTGGCCCTTTGAAGAAAAAGTTAGCCAACCCCTACTTAAAATTCTGTTGTAACAATGGAGCACATTGTACCTATTCCCCTGTGGGTGAATATTTGGGTCATTTCTAATTTTTTTTTTTAAATTTTACAGACGGTGGGTGCTTCAATACATAAACATTTTTGTTTGTTCGGGGTTCTCCCTAGAGTATATAGCTGGAAGTGCAATTACTGGGCTGGAAGGTGTCTGCACCTTAAACTTTACCAAGTATTACTAAATTGGTCTCTAAAGTGGATCTACCAATTTGCACTCCCACTGGTAGTCTGTGAGACTTCCTCTCCCTCCACATCCTTGCCAACAATCTGGTATTTTAAGACCTTAAGTTTGGCAAGTCTGATGCGGTTAAAGTGGTACTTCCTTACTAGTAATGATTAACGTTTTTTCAAGTTGTTATTGACCATTTGCCATTATGGGAATTGCCTGATAATGACCTTTGCCCATTTTCCTGTTGAGTTGTCTTTTTTTCCTTTTGCGTTGTGAGAGTTCTTTATATATTTTGGCTACTAGTCCTTTCAGTTATATGCATTAAAACCTGTCCATGACTTGCTTTTCAGTCAGTTTGGGTTCTTTACAAGAGCTGTGTCTTAAGGTATATAGTCAATTAGTCTTAGTTCATCTTGAAGATATGTGCAATCTGTGTATACACACACATACATATATACTCATATATAGGTAGTAGGTAGGTATGCACACATGCACACATAAATGACTTCTTTTCCTTGGAAAGGGTTGCATTGTCTGAGTTTGAAGAAAAGTAAGTAGTTGCCAGCAGGATCTGCAAAGTTGATCCAGCACAGCCCTCCCCACTGGGGTGCTCACAGAAGCCTATAAACACCCCATCTTGTAGCAATTAGAAGCTGTCCATTTGAGTGAGCTGACTGTTGCTGACACTTTGGCTGTGTAGACGTGACCCACAAGGTCCCAGGGAAGCTAAAGGCCATCGTGCTGGGACATGAAGGGTTTGGAAGGCTGCCTCGGACAGAAACTGAACGTGATTTGTGGTTTTGGATTTCCCCATTTGGTTTTGGCTGAAGTCAGACCTTGGTTTCAGCTTGATCAAGTTGGACCATTCTCTGGCCCACAGCGATTTAAATAATTAAAACTTCCATTTTCAGGCCAGATTACTTTTGTTTGACTTTGCATTGATCCGTCATCTTCAGAACTGAGAACACTGGCTTTCCCTGTCTCTCTGTGTCCTCTGATCATTCAAATCAAACTTTCTTTCTTTTTTTTTTTTTAATTAGTTTCAGGTGTACAAAGCAACTTACTAGTTAGACATTTACACCCCTCAAAAAGTGATAATCCCCCCATCTACCCCTCTGACGTTGTATATGCTGTTACAATACCATTGACTATTCCCTATGCTATACTCTACATCCTTTGACAATATGTGTGTGTGTGTGTGTGTGTGTGTATATATATTTAATTATAGTTGACATTCAATATTATTCTACTTCAGCTTCAGGTGTACAGTACAGTGGTCAGGCATCTACAGTTTATGAAGAGATTCCCCTGATAAGTCCAGTGTCCATCTGGCACTTTACATAGTCTTTACAATATTCTGGTCAAATCAGACTTTGAGTTGAATAGTTAAAAAATAATTCTGCAGTCCTTTGGGTTTACAGAGCCCTGTGGAGTTAACAGTCTTGCAGCCATGATCTCTGTGTATCTTAACCATAGCTCAGTGACACGTATGGGGAAGATATATGACAGCTGCCATCGTATAGCTGAGGACCAGTGAGAGGCACGAAGCTGACTTGCTGACTTGATCCTGACCCCATAGCAACCTTCCAAGCTGGGCCTGGTGTCCCGCTCTGGTGCCCTTTCCACAACCTGTCATTCAGGTGCGAGCTCACTTCATTACTCATGCTCCAGGATGACCCCTCTTCATCATCACCAATATCCCTACTTCAGAGAGGGCCACACTCTGGGGGACCGAGACAGACATAACTGGGGGTACATCTAACATTCCCTGAGCCTGTGCTATGGGTCGGGCTCTGCACTGTACATTTTCTCACATGTCAGCTCAGTTGATGCTCTAATGCTGTGAATAGCATGACGAGTTTCACGGGCCTGTGACCGGCACAGTTGTACAGGGCTCGCGCTTAGCTTAGAAGGCCGCCACGCTTGCTTTTACGCCCAGCATTTGCCTTCCTGAATTTTTAAATAATATTTGGACATTTGGTCCTACATTTTCCATTTCTCACTGGGCCCTGCAAATTATGCAGCTGGTCCTGTTCACAGGTTAAGAAACCGAGGCTCGAGAGGTGAAGCAGTTTGCCCCAGATTACACAGCTGATAACTGGCAGAGCTGGGACTGGACTAATTTCTACTTTGCTGCTTCATTTATTAAAAATAGAGCACTGGAAGAGCCTTGTTTGAATTGCATGGCAAGGAACTGGGAGGCAAGGTAAACTGCACTATAAAAATACTGATTTTCTGTGGAAATTTGCTTATGTGCTGTTAAGTAGTTTTGTGGTGACCTCACACTGGCCAGTTGCCACCCTTGTCTTTGGCGGGGGGGAACTCTCTATGACATTTCTTTTGAGGTCCCTGAAAGTACGTGGAACAGGCAGCCTCACAGGGGAGCCACTTAGGCTGACCAAGTGGGTTAATGGGCTCCTTTGAAAGCAAAGAAGAAAGTGAGACCCCAGAGTTTACTTGGTGAGCCCCAAAGATACATGAGGAATTAATTAGGGAGCTGGAAGGATCCGACTTAGCTCTTGGACCAGATTATGCCATCACGCCCTTGGTGGAGAGATTCCTAGATCCTCAACTTAGCTACTCCTTCTGGCTTTGTTTTTCTCTGTGTGTCTCTTAAGCTCCCGACCATGCCACTCTCAACTCTCCCAAGACATTCAGGCTTCCCCCAGGCCCCTCAAAGGCTACTGGCCTGCCTAGAGGTTGACCACTGGGGGTGAGGCATTGCTCTTTGGCCATGTTGATATGGTCATAGGGCACCAGCATGGTGACTTGAGCGAAGAAGCTTTTAGAATGGGGCCCAATGAGTCCTGTCCCATCCAGGTCATTGGCTGGCTGATCTTCCAGGACAGACTTTGAGTTGGCCATCTTAGAAGATGAGCTGACTGCTTCCTGAGCAGGACATACTCCTGGCTGGAGAAGGCTCTGGGGGGTCCCGGGGGGACTTGCTGGCCTCCTTGGTGATCTGCTCTGTTTTCCCTTCACAGCAGCAAACCCTCTGCTTTGCTCCACCGCCCGCTACCACTGCAAGAACGGCCTCTGCATCGACAAGAGCTTCATTTGCGACGGGCAAAATAACTGTCAAGACAACAGTGACGAGGAGAGCTGTGAAAGTTCTCAAGGTAGGAGACACCCAAGCTCTAAAAAATAATTGCAGCACCACACCACAGGAGATCTGAAAAGAAGGAGACAACACGCATGCCCTCCTCCAACCACAACAGCTGGGTTAATTTTTGCACTTCACCCTGCCGCCCTGGTACACCTGATTTTAGCTATATCACATCCTGCTTTTCACATTATTAAATACAATAGATACACTTTGTCTTCAATGTGGAAATATGCCCCTGCCGCATGACATCCTGTCATGGTGCTCTACTGTGGTGTTCTGAATTATTGCATTGTTGGGGACCATCAGGGCTGTTTCCTTACATGGAAGTACTTGTTCAGGATAAATTCTGCAGAGTGGGGCACCTGAATGGTTCATGGCCACACCTCGCCGTGCAGCTGTGTGAGATGACTTTTGTACTTTATGCTGCTGCGAACATTGTCTGCATTGGGACACCCCTGGCATCCACCGCTCTTCCGTTTCTTCCCTACTTGCTAATTTAGTACTCATAGAATGATATAGCTCCCCCCAAATGCTTTAATTTGCATTCCTCTGATTATGAGCAAAACTAACATTTTCCCCCGTGTGTTTATTTACTGATTTGTTTCCTCTCATGTGGACTGCCTACTCCTATCAGGGCTCTTGGTCTCAGAGCTATTTTCTGAAGGATGCAGTTTGGGGGATGGGAAGAGAAGCTTTTCAGGGAGCCCAGAAGGACGCAGTTGGGATCATATCCTCTCCTGTTAAAACTAACTAGGTACATTTCTTTACTTATTGACTCTTTTTCAGTAAACATGTATTTTCTTCAGCGGCGAGGGAAAACATTGCAAAGATTTAACAATAGACATCCATTTTAAGGCATCCTAAAAAGTATATATTTCTGTTATAAACTGGTATCATCTGTATGCAATCTTTACTTTTTCCACTTAGTATTATATTGCTGTGATTCACCCATCTTATTGTTTGTTGGTAGAGTTCATTTTCTTGACTGTTACTCAGTATTCCACGGTATAAATGTACTCCAGTTTATAGACTTAATAAAACTGTAAAAAAAGAGAAGCAAGAGAAACATGGTTAACTGGCTAACTCATATGTCGGGGGGTAGGATACTTGGGATAAGCTCCACGAAGTTAGATGGAGGTTCTTTCCGAGGGCCTAGCTTTTATTTTGGTTGGTGTTTATTATCGTTATTAAAAACGAATGAATGACCATACGGGTTATGTGTAGACCACTGGTCAGAGTGGGTCCCAAACTAAGGATTAGGATCAATCCAAATCTGCATGCCCAAGATCTATAGACAAGAAGAGGTAAAATATGCATCAACATAGACTTTGCCAAAATCTGTGCAGAGGACAGCTCTGGGAGGTGAGTCTTGGGTAGAATTGGCCTCTGACTGTCCTAGCCTCGAAAGTTCCCTGCTTGAGCTTTCTGTCTCCAAGTGTGATCCTCAGAGCAGCAGCGGCAGCGTCATGTGGGGACTCTTTGGAAATGCAGAGCTCAGGCTGCACCCCAGACCACCTGAATCAGCTGGGGAGCAGTCGGTGTTTTCACAAGCCTTCCAGGTGATTCACATGCTCAGTGAAGTCTGTCAAGCACTGTCTTAAACTAACTTGAGAGAGGTTTCTCATCTTGTCATTTGCCTAGGAGTTTCTGAACTCCTGATGGAACCACAAGGCATTTCTAGCCTTTACAAAGTTTTATAAAAAAAAAAAGTTATACCCATATACCTCCTACGGCATGTGCCATCGGTAATGATAGACACCAAATGGGGTAACAGCAGTCACAAAGTCAAGGAGACAGTAGAATAGATAGGGGGGATTGAGGACATTTTTCTGCATATCTTGTTTCTTATGTGTTTTGTATCCTAGACTCACTAATGGTGCCCTGAGATAGATGTTCAGCAAAAGGACTTTCAAGTTTAAAACTTGGAAGTTAGGGAATTTGCACTTATAGTTTTGGCAACACTTTTCCCCCTTCCCCAATGCCTATCCCAGCATTTTCTTGAAGCCAGTTTTTGCTTGCCCTGAAGAGCTGTCCCTCTGCAGGCTGGTTAGAGTTAGTATTCCTAAATCCAGCTCCTTTCTCGTATGTTGTACTTTCATATTATAAACATGAGGTGTCGGGAAAGTCGGTGGTGGACATATACACACGAAGCACATATCTTCCTTGGAGCAGCCTTCCCCAGAGCCTCAGCTTTGTGCCTTCCATACCCAAACGACAGCCCCCTTAGACAGGAAGCTCTGTTTGCACATGTTCTCAGAAAACAAGTCCCGTCAGGCCATGGGTAACAGCTGTCAGTTGCCATCAGTGTGACAGCCGCCGAGCAAGGCCATTATGAAAGGCGTTGCCTTAGCTTTCTCAGAATGGGAAGTGAGTCTTTGATGCCTCTCGAACCCCACAGATCCTACCTGGCAGCAGAGTGCCCTCCCCGTAGTGGATTTATTATAGTAAGTGCCAAAGACCGGAAGAGAATGTCTTTGTTGGGTGCTATGTTATTAAGCCATGTTTAATCTGCACCCTGTGTGGTATTACACTGTATGTGTTTTTAAATTCATGTGAGGTCAAGAATCCACAATCTATGAAAATAATCACCCTAAGTGTTATTGTGGTTGTTTGACTAGAGGAGATGATTCCATATTCCCTCAGGGGAGCATGCCCCACAGTACGCATGAGATGGGAACCTGGCCCTGCTGTTCCCCTGGCCAGTCTACAGTTCTGCATCCATCCCTCTTACAGTGTGATGTCCCTCTGCTCTGAGTGTGATTCTAGCATTGAAGGATATTCTTTCCTCCTATCAGGTGGCCTCTAAATGCAAACTGACTCCTAATTTTGGTGCTTGAACAAAGCAACACCAGCGTACCAGAGCTGGGGGAAAACCTGACTCACCTGGGCTTTTGAGAGACTGGGCTCCATGTGGTGTCTTCTTGGAGAATTTCAGAGGCCTCTTAACTAGGCCAAAACTCCGTCTTGTACCACATAGCATTTGACCCATTGTCATCGTCATAACAGTGAACATTTATCGAGCCGCACCACGCACTGGACACTGTGCTCAGTAAGCCCCTTCTCTGTGCATGATGAGCTCATTTAGTCAAAATATATTCTATCTGCTTCTGCTGGGCTTCCAGTCTTGGAAAATGTATCTTTGCTTTCAAGTGATGTGGGAAAAGAAAAT